GGGGAGGTCCGCCCGAATCCGCGCGGTGTCACTCCGCTGGACACACTAGCAGCCCTCGAAAGTGGCGACAATCTCGCAAATCGCAGCCCCACAAGGACGGGGAGGTCCCACTCAGATCCGCGCGGTGCCTCACTCCAATGGACCCACCAGCAACACTTGAAAATGACGACAACGTCGCAGATCGCAGATCGCAGCCCCCCAAGGACGGGGAAGTCCCGCACAGGTCCGCGCGGTGCCTCACCCCGCTGGACCCACCAACAGCCCTCGAAAATGGCGACCGTTTCGCAGATCGCAACCCCCCAAGGACGGGGAGGTCCCGCTCAAGTCCGCACGGTGCCTCACTCCGCTCGCAGATCGCAGCCCCCCATGGACGGGGAGGTCCCGCTCAGATCCGCGCGGTGCCTCAATCCGCTGGCCCACCAACAACACCCGAAAATGGCGACAAATTCCAGATCGCACCCCCCCCAGGGACGGGGAGGTCCCGCTCAAGTCCGCGCGGTGCCTCACTCCGCTGGGCCCACCAACAGCCCTCGAAAGTGGCGACCGTTTCGCAGATCGCAGCACCACAAGGACGGGGAGGTCCGCTCAGATCCGCGCGGTGCCTCACCCAACTGGGCCCACCAGCAGTCATCGAAAACTGCGACAATTTCGCAGATCGCAGCGCCCCAAAGGAAGGGGAGGTTCCGCTCGGACCCGCGCGGTGCCTCACTCCGCTGGACCCACCAGCAGCCGTCGACAATGGCGACAATTTCGCAGATCGCAACCGCCCAAAGACGGAGAGGTCCCGCTCAGACCCGCGCGGTGCCTCATTCCAATGGACCCACCAGCAGCCCTCGAGAGCGGCGACAATCTGGCAGATCGCAGCCCACCCTCGAATATGACGACAACGTCGCAGATCGCAGCCCTCCAGGGACGTGGAGGTCCCGCTCAGGTCCGCGCGGGGCCTCACTCCGCTGGGCCCGCCAGCAACCCCATCGAAACCTGCGACAATTCCGCAGATCGCAGCACCCCAAAGACGGGGAGGCACCCCTCAAGCCCGCACGATGCCTCACTCCGCTGGGTACGCCAACAGCCCTCGAACACGGCGATGATTTTCAGATCGCAGCCCCCCAAGGACGGGGAAGTCCCGCTCAAATCCGCGCGGTGCCTCACTCCGCTGGACCCGCCAATCGCCGTCGACCATGGCGACAATTCCGCAGATCGCAGCCCCCCAAGGACGGGGAGGTCCCGCTTAGGTCCGCGCGGTGCCTCGCTGGCTGGGCCCACCAGCAGCCCTCGAACATGAAGACAACGTCGCAGATCGCAGCCCTCCAAGGACGGGGAGGTCCCGCTCAGGCCCGCGCGGTGCCCCACCCCGCTGGACCCACCAGCAGCCCTCGAAAGTGGCGACAATTTCGCAGATCGCAGCCCCCCAAGGAAGGCAAGAGGAGACAAGCAGGAGGGGGGCAGGAAGCGGGAGGCAGGAGGCGGGAGGAGGCGGGAGGAGGAGACGCGACCGCGGTGCTCTATTCAAAACGAATACCCAACCAAGGAGAGTTGGGGAAAAAGGGAAGCCGACGTGGCCTCATCTGCCCTAACCCCTAGAAGGATTATCATTGAACGCCCCCCGCAAGAAATATTCATAACGAAACCCTCTACAGAAGAAATCCTCAACTGGTGGATTCCTATGGAAATCACACGCAGAGGACTTGCTATTGAGACGCTTCGAAAGAAAGACCCCCTGTTGGCATCGCATTGGCATTGCGTTGGCATTGCGCTTGGCAGTGTGTTGGCATTGCGCTTGTATTTCGCAAGCATTGCGCTCGCAAGCATTGCGCTGGCGAGTCCTACTGGAACCCTCCACAAAAGGACTCCTATTGAAACCCTCGACCAACAAGGGTTCATATTGAAATCCTCCACAGAAAGATTCCATGCGAAGCCCTCCACAAAAGAATTCCTACGGAAATCTACAACAAGGGATTTCCCCCCAATGGCTTTGCATTGGCGTTGGGTTTGGATATCCTTGGCATTGGTTTGGCATTGCGTTGGCACTGCTTTGGCATTGCGCTGGCGAGTTCCAATACCTCCATTCGCAGAAGGATCCCTATTGAACCTCCACAAGAAAAGTTCCGATTGAAACATTCCACAAGAAAGGTTCAGATTGAACTCCCTCACGGAAGGATTACATTCGAAGCCCTCTATATAATGATTCCTATTGAGCCCGACCGCAAGCATTCATGGTGAAACCCCCCACGGACGGATTCCAATCGAAACCCTCCACAGGAGGATTCATATCGAAATCCTCCGAAGAAGGATTCGTAACCAAATCATCCACAGAAGGATTCCAATCGAAATCTGTTGAAAGACAGGAGTCCCGCCATCGGCATTGCATGGGCAGTGGTTTGGCAACGGTTTGGCATCGCATTGGCATTGCGTTGGCATTGCGATGGCAGTGCATTAACAATGCGTTGGCATTGCGCTGGCGAGTCCCGATCAAACACGTCACAGAAGGATTCCTGTTGAACACCCCCACAAAAAGGATGCCTATTTAATCCACCCACAAGAAGGATTCACAGTGAAATCCTCCACTGCAGTGTTCCATGCGAAGCCCTCCACAGAAGGCTTCCTATTGAAATCCTCCGAAGAAGGGTTCTTAGTAGGATTTCTCTCTGCATGACATCACCCACAGAAGGGTTCTTAGAAGGATTGCTATTGAAATCTACCACAAACGATTCCCGAGATTAGCGTTGCATTGGTGTGTCATTGCGATGGCACTGCTTTGGCATTGCGTTGGCATTGCGCTGGCGAGTCCTTATGGCTCCCCCCGCAGACGGACTCCTACTGAAACCCTCCACAAGAAGGATTCCGATCTAATCCCCCCACAAGAAGGATTCCTAGTGAAACCCTCCACAGGAGGATCCCGATCGAAACCCTCCACAGAAGCATTCCTATTCAAATCCTCCGAAGAAAGACTCGTAATGACATCATCCGCAAAGGATTCTTATAGAACTCCACCGAACGAAAGGATTCCCCCACTGGCATTGCATTGGCATTGGCATTGCTTGGCAATGCATTGGTATCGCATCGGCATTCAGTGGTCCGGCGCAGGAGATAGACAGAGAGAGAGAGAGACAAAGAGAGACTGAGAGAGAGAGAGAACACGAGAGAACGATACAACGAGAGAAGAAAACTTTGAGGGGATCACGGCAGAACGAAAAATGACAATCAAAGTGTAAGGTTGAAGGAGCGTTTCGATATATAAAAATCATATAGGAACGACGAGGGGCTCCACAATCCCCTGGCCTCTCCTCCTCCTCCTCCTCCTCCTCCTCCTCCTCCTCCTCGCGCCTGCGCAGGAGTGCGGGAGAGCACTCGCGGGCTCGGGACCAACGGCCCGACGACAGACAAGACGATAGGCACCGCCGCAATCCTCAAGGGACATGGGTGCGTGAGAACACCAGGAAAACCAAGAGCAACGAAGCGTGAACCACCAGCTCTCACGGAGCACACTGGCGAATAAGACAAGCGAGCGCAGTCCCACAAGGAAGTTTCACCGTTGGACGCAAACGAAGCAAGACCCCAGAGTCCAACACAGGGGAAGGGTGGAGTACATAACATACTTTAGTCATATTCTCCTGCTCCCCAAACCGCTACGCGATTTAGGAGCTAAGAGATCGCTGCCGCTTTGTGGTTACCAGCGAATTCCTCCTCCTCCTCGTTCTCCCTCCCCCTCCTCCCCCTCCCCCCCCTCCTCCTCCTCCTCCTCCTCCTCCTCCTCCTCCTCCTCCTCCTCCTCCTCCTCCTCCTTGGAGCACCATGGCTGCTGGGCGTCGAAGCTCGGTGCAGCCCTGGCCGAAGCTCTTCGTGCTGATGGCTCTGGCCACGCTGCCGCGCCTCCAGGCCTTCATGACGACGAGGGTAAGGACAGGGGCCAGGATAGCATCAACCCTGGCAAGGACAGGGGCATGGTCCTGCTGCTCAAGGTCCTCCTCCTGAACGCGATGCCCTCGCTGGGCCCGATAGGGGGTGTTGCTTCTCATGGTCGACCCGATCAGCCCGCCGTGCCAGGCACCAGCTCGCCTTCTGATGACTTTGATCGCGGCGCTGATCGTGATCCTTGGAGCGGTGGTCGTGAGCAGTTGTCATCCGCTGCGCCTGCGCGGAGGCATTCAGATCTCCGTGAAGCCGTTGACGGTGCTGCTCATGCAATGGGTGCAGGGCCTACGGCTTCTCGTACTGCTCTGGTCGATCTCCGTGCTGCATGTCTCAGTGTGCCAGACGTTGTCGGCAAAAACATCACGGTTGATCCACCTAAACCTGATCGGGCTGAGTGCCGGGATTGTGTGAGGGCGCACCTGTTCGGCGCGCAAGCATGCCGCGCGTGCGCCGCCGCGGATCGTGGTTGCTCTCTGTAAATTGGGTTTTTATGGCATGTTGGTTGGTGGGGAGCCGTGTGCCGCTAAGCGGTGCAGGGTCTGCCCTCTGACCTTCGTCGCTGGAAGGCCCAGCCTTGCTCTCGACGTGTCCAATCCAATCCAATCCAATCCAATCCAATCCTCCTCCTCCTCCTCCCCCGCCTCCTCCCCCTCCTCCTTCCTCGACCCCCGCCCCTGCAAACGAGCACAAAACGTGCCCTGCCAACCAAACTGGCCGCGCCTCCCGAGGAGAGCCTGCCCCCTCGGCCTCCCAGAACCCCCCCCCGGATGCAGCTCGGCGGCGAGAGGCGCCCCCTCGAGGGCCCGAGTGGCTACCGAGAGGCCTGCCACGAGGCCCCAGCGGGCCTCCGAGACCCCTCCTGCGCACGGCCCAGATGCGGTCGGACCTAAGACATGAGAAAATCATTGAAGAACATGTGACACTCTACAGGCCCCGACCTCGATCTTATACCTCGGTCCGACAGTGATTACGGTGGCAGGATGGGTCAAATATAGGTACACCAGGTGCTTGACAAATGACGCCTCCGGAGAGCTTGTCCCCTCCATCTCCCAACCCCCATAATTCCTGGCGCCGGCGAGAGGCGCCTCCTCGAAGCCCACCAGCCCAGCGTCGAGGACGAAGCCTCGGTAGCGGCAGACGTTGCCCGACAGCTGGGCCGTCGTCGCGTCGAGGTCCTCCCCGAAGGCGATGGGAAGGAGATTTTGAATGGAGCGGGGCGGAATGGATCAGCGATGATTGGAGCGAGCTGGGGTGGGGGAAAGGGGGGAGGGGGAGGTACAAGGGTCGGGAGGGACAGGGGTTGGAGTGAAATGGAGTGGTGTGGGAGGGTAGGAGATGGAGAGAGAGAGAGAGAGAGAGAGAGACAACGACAGAGACAGAGAAGAGGTGGAAAGAAAGAGGAGGGGGAGGAACAGAGGGGTCTGGATAGAACACCACTTCGTGTGGGCAGGCTGGGACTAGGACGTGGATAGGTACCGGGAGGAGTGGGAAATGCCGCAGAGGATAGTGGGCGAGAGGGCAGCACGTCTATTCCATATTCCATATTCCAAATTCCTGGCGCACACGCGTTTAAGTCAGTGGCACAAGGGGTCTTCAAGCGCGAGCAGCAGATGGAGGTGCTAATTGCGATCGAGCATAATCGAAAGCGCAATGACAGAAACATCAAACACGTGCAAATATGGATGGTGGGTAAGAGGGACCGTAATCCACCGAACGTGCAGCGGCCAGAAACCAGAGAGCACGCCAGGGCGAGCTCGACTCAAGGTGGACTGAAGCGCGAGCAGTCTGGTGCTAATTGCCACTGAATCATCGAGCAATCGATGCTAGACAGTGATGATAAGCTGACAGGCTGCCAGACCAGCCGACTGGTGGGGTGGCACAGACAGGCCTGGAGCAAGAGAGCGGGCAACCAGCACGACAGCGCGGCCCACGCGCTGAAAAGGTGGTGTGCGAGTGAGTCCGGCGCAGCACCTCTGCGGACCCGACGGCCCAGGACGAAGCCTGGGGGGGGGGGTGCTGGCACACACACGCACACACACACACACACGCACACGCACACGCACACACGCACACGCACACACGCACACGCACACGCACACGCACACGCACACGCACACGCACACGCACACGCACACGCACACGCACACGCACACGCACACGCACACGCACACACGCACGCGCACGCGCGCGCGCACGCGCACGCGCACGCGCACGCGCACGCGCACACGCACGCGCACGCGCACGCGCACGCGCACGCGCACGCGCACACGCACGCGCACGCACGCACGCACGCACGCACGCACGCACGCACGCACGCACACACGCACGCGCACGCGCACGCGCACACGCACGCGCACAGCACGCGCACGCGCACGCACGCGCACGCGCACACGCACACACACACACACGCACACGCACGCACACGCACGCACACGCACGCACACGCACGCACACGCACACACACGCACACACACACACACACACGCACACACGCACACACACGCACTTTTTGATCTGCGGGGCGAGAGGGGACCTCTTCCGCCAAAAGCTAGGCGGGCTACGCACAGCCTTAATTAAGGAGACAGGGCACAGGAAGGCGGGGCCTCAGGCGGCCGGAGCGGGCGGGGCCCCGGGCGCAGGCGGCGCCGAAGTGGACGCGCAAGAAAAAATACGCCGCGGACAAGGGCCGAGGGCGAAGACCCGGAAGGCGAAGGAAATGGCGTTGCCGTCAAGGGCACGTCGCGAACACCAGCCTCAAGCACTGCAGGGGAGGACGCGCCACTTGACCAGGTCGACGCCCCGGAAGAAGAGCACCACGAAGGCGATGGGCAACGTTGTGCCACCCGATGATGCGGAGGAGGCCCGGGGCGGTGGTCCAGTCCACGACCAGGTAGCAGCGCAGCTTGAGGTGCGGCCTCAAACGAAAGGGCCGACCATGACCGACAGGAAGTCGGTGGGCTGCAGGGAGAAAGCCCGCCCTGCATCGCCAGCGCGTGAAGACGGGCAGCAGCCGCGCACGATGCGCTGACGTCCGCGTTGCCACGGGCCGGGCCTGAGCCGCGCAGCGCCGTGGCGAGCGGGGCCGCCGAGGCGGCAAGGTGCAGCGCCTGGCGCCGGGCCGAAGCCGCGCAGTGCCGGGCGCTGCCGCCATTGGAAGGGGGGGAAGCGAGCGGGGGGGGAAGAAGCGAACAGGAAGGAAAAAGGCCGGCGCTCACCGCCAGCCGTCGACGCGCCAGCCCGCGCCGTCGGCGCTCGCGTGGGAGGAGCTGGGCCCCAATGGGTTCAGGTAGGACACGCGGCCCCAATGCGCGTTGAAGACAGGAGGGGGGGGGGGCAGGCAACGCAGTCGGGGGCCAGGTGGGCCAGTAGGCAGACGCCGCGAGTGGACCGTGCGCGTGCCAAGTGCACCGCTACTGCGCCCGTCTGGCTGCGCGCGCCTGCACCGCGCGCGCGACGGGGGCGCGCGCGGGCTGCCAGGATCAGCCTTCCAGCCAAGGCTGCGGGGGAACAGGCGGGGGGGGACAGGGGGGGACGCGGCCCCGAGCCAGGTGGCGAGGGAGGGGGGAAGGGGCAAGCTAGGTGCGCTCGCGTCATATCTGACGTCCTACCCCTCCCTCCCATCCCTTACCATGGCGCTGATTTTCTCTATCCGCGGACGCGTGTCGTAGCGGACCTGTGGCTCCGCGCGCGCGCGTAGTGGGTGGTGGTGCACGTGCGTGCGTGCGTGCGTGTGTGCGTGGTTGTCGTGGTGGTGGTGGTGGTAGTGGTGGTGGTGGTGGTGGTGGTGGTGATGGTGGTGGTGGTGGTGCTGGTGGTGGTGGTGGTGCTGGTGGTGGTGATGTTGGTACTGGTGCTGGTGCTGCTGGCGGTTGTGGTGGTGGTGGTGGTGGTGGCGGCGGTGCGGCGCGGTGGTGGCGGGCGGATGGGCGCGCGAGAAAAAGGCCCGCGCTGGGGCGACAACGCCATCCGGAACGACGGAGGCCAAACACCGATCCGAAAATGAGGCCCACGCTGCAGCGGGAGCACGATTCGGAACGATTCGGGAGCAGAAATGAGACCGGCGCCTCAACGAGAGCAGCATTTTGGGGAAAAATGACGCCGGCGCCTCAGCGAGAGTCGTTTCCCGGGATTTCCCGGGGATCCTGTGTGTAAAAAAACAGTACGCGGAGGGTGCGCGGCCATCACCTGGACGCCATCAGGGGAAGAGGGAGAGTATATTCATATTGAGTAATTGTGAACAGGTGGCGGGCGTGGCCAGCGGTGGGTTGGACAAGGACCTTGCCGTAAGTTGTTGGGAGCGTAAGAAGGCGGTCGCGGCGCGCTACGCCTGACAAGGGGGGCCCGTTGCAGGCTGGTCAGCGCCTGGGGCGCTTCCCGGCCCAGTTGTCATTGTACCCGGAGCTGCGTGCCTGGCCCCCCCCGCGCCCTTCACCTTTGGCAACCTCTCTTTTCTTCTGGACGTCCGGGCACAAGGCCTTTTCCCGGTCCCAGTCCACATAGACGCTGGCGCATCGAGGCCGCGTCTCCTCGTGGTGGATGCAGCTGTCCATATCATCCAGAAATTTGTCGATTATCTTGGGCTGCCAGCAGTTCGGGTCGAACGCGACCTGGTCTTTGGACTTTCCTTTGCCCTGCTCCTTACACATATGCCTGCACCGCGAGTGCCAGGCCGCGGTGAATGTGCACCCCCCCATCAGCCTGCAGCCTCTTCAGGCGTGTGACTGCTGTCTCGTGTGAGCGGCGTGGCCAGCTGACGCGGTGGATTGTCCGTGGACGGCTGGGGTCAGGGTAACGGCGGTCGCCCCTGTGGTGAGAGCTGCGTGGGCCTTCTGGCTGGCGTCAGGGGGTCCACCCTGTGCCCCTGCCACAGTCGCGGTCCTGGTCCCAGTAGCGCTCCCTGGTTCTGTCCCAGTCGTTGGTGTCTTGCTTGCGCCACGGGGCCCCCTTCTACGCCTTTGTTGCGGTCGCGGTCGCGGTCGCGGTCGTGCTCTCCAGCACGGGCCCGGTCGCTGGTTTCTCTGGACGCGCGCCTCACCGCAGTTTCGGACGACAGCCAGGGAGCTGGACCCCGCGCCCTGCCGCGCAAGCGCTCTAGCTCTTGCGCAGGGAGGGGGTTGAGTGCGGGGCGCTTGTCTTCTGGGCCTTTGGATCTGGGCCGCGCGTGCAATGCTCGGTCGTCGGCGGCGGCCGTCAAAAACGCAGTCGGTTCCGTGGGTGCGCAGGCTGGCTGGGTCTGGTACGTGCTGCTTGAGTCGCGCTCGGGACTGCTGCGTCGCTCGTCACGAGGGCTCAACTTGGCTTGGCCCTCCTCGACTGCGTCGGGGTCTGAGGAGGGGGAGACCGTATGGACCATGCTTAAGGCCCCCGCGAGCCTCTGCTTCCTCTCTTGCTCCTGGTCGTCGCTGGTCCAGTCGGGGTCCTCCGCCTTCGGGTGCACGGGGGGTGCCGGCTCGTAGGTGGGGTCTTGTGTGTCCGTGCGCGGCGCGCAAGGTTCAGGCTTGGAGTCGGGCTGAGCCCCTTCTGGGGACGTCGCGCTGGCGCCCCCGATGTCGGCGCCGAGCCAGGAGCTGGCGGGGGCCACTGGCGCCCGCGCTCCGCGCGCCTCGTCGCAGGTTCTGCCCGGGAAGGCGGCTGCTTGAAGCGCCGCGTCGCCGCGGAGGACGTTCACGCGTAGCGCCCTGGTGCCGGCGCCCCAGACTTCCAGCCACTCGTCGTCGATTTGGGCGATAAGGGTTTGCCCGTCCTGTTCGCGGGCCAAGACGTTCAGGACGGGTCCGAATGCCGCTCCGTCCAGGGGGTGCGCGGACAGGGGCTCGGTGCTGTCCGCCGAACTGAACCACCTGGCACGGGGAAGGCGTCGCTCCTGATGACCGCGTAGTCGCCGCCCTGGACGCACGGGCTGTCCGTTGCGATCGGGCAGAAGGAGCCCTGGGCGGGTGTGTCTGGGACTCGCCCTTGCTGCCGTTCGAGGCGGCTGGGCCCCGCGCTCTCGGGGAGGGGATCAGGAGTAGCGCTGACGGCTGGTGGCGCCCCAACGGACTTGCTAGCCGCGGGTCGCGTGGCGGGAGGGGCCGGGGCCGGCTCGTCGCCGCGCGGAGTGGGCGGGAGTGAGTCGCGGGGCGTCAGGCGCCTTTCCTTGGCGGGTCTTGGGCTGTCAGCCTGGTTGGAGGCGTGG